ATGCCCCTCTGCCATGCCACCCTGTGGAGCAGTCAGTCAACTATGGACTGAAACCTCTACAAACTGAGCTGAAATAAAAATTTCCTCTTTTAATTTTGTGTGTTGGATATTTTGTCTCAGCAATGAGAAAAGTAACTAAGACATTTGTTATTGGGGCTGGGGATTTAGCTCAGCGGCAAAGCGCCTGCCTGGCAAGCGCAAGGTCGTGAGTTCGGTTCCCGGTACCGGAGAAAAACCAAAAAAAAAAAAAAAAAAAAAAAAACATTTGTTATTGAAACTTCACCATGAAGGAATTCCAACAAGAATTAGTATTGGGACTTTTACATGCAGGATTATACAAACACACTGGCTAGTAGAGAATAGAGTCCACAGTAAAATATGTAATAAACATTAAGGTGATAATAAAAAGAAATAAGGGAAGACAGTTTTTCAGAATCTGAAACCTGCAACTGTTTCACTCTGCTCTGATGAGGACTTATTTGAGGTTTGTCCCCTGATGATTTCCTGAGACTTCTGAAAACACTGACATTTTATCTAGAAGTAGTTTCCAAAATGCTCGTTGAAGGCATGAAGTTCTTAAATTGTTATGAGGAACAGCAGGTATAGTCACTGACAACCTGGTCTTTCAGGATCCTTCCTCTTCATGGAGAAGAAAATGATGTCTAATCATCCTCTTTTATGAAGATAATTTTCTAATACTAGCAATGGCACTAGTAAATCCCACAGAATGAACACATCGCTGGTTATGAGGAACTTCTCATGATGATGTTTATGCAGTGCTACTTCATAACTGTGTATTAGGTTGCACTAATACATTTACTTAGCCTTTTGATTTGTCATAAAGACCTTGACACTATCCCAGGGAGAGGGCAGGCTCTGAATAAAAATGAAGTGAAAAAAAGGCTGGAGGCATCTTGGATCTGTCATAATTCAGGTAAAAGAGACTTACAAACTCAGTGAATCAACAGATTAGTTGACTGCTTTAAAAGAAAATGAATTTTAACAGTTCAAAACAAATATCATAAAAATATTAAAATTCTGTATTTAAAAATACTTTCATTAATTATAAAAAATAATTTTAAGCTACGTATGGTGGCACACGCCTGTAATCTCTTCTGCGATAATGAGGCAACTTCAAGCCAAGTTTGGTTAATTAATGAAACCCTATCCCCACCCCCCAAAAAAGGAAGAAAGTTGAGGATGTAGTACAAAGTTTACAAAAATAATAAGCCAATGGTAATGGTAATAGTAGCACTGAACTCTGAAGAGCTAGAAGAATATGGTATAATTGTAAGGATGATTAAACTAAAAAGGATCTAGAAATCACATGGTATATGGAAGAATTGAAGAAATTAGACACACTTGGGGCTGATTTCATCCTTCCCATCTTAGCGTTTACTATTTCTTCATGTTGAACACACACTGTCTGCACCATTACATTTAAATGCTATCTACGCAGCCTTCAAGATACACTGCGCTTCCCCTTCTCCAAGTCTTCCTTGATCACTCCAGCTAGACACAATTTCTCCCTGCACTGAATTCTCATGTATGTACATCCACTTTTTGTGGATCTTTTCAATTTCTGTTACAAGACAAACTTTTTTGTTTTTTCCACAAGACAAAAATTTTTGTAACAAAAAATAAATTAGTATTTTATTCAACTTTAGTGATCCTACAGAGTACACGAGGGTACACTTGTGTACTGAATATACAACATAATCCTCCCAATTTTAGAGAAAAGGGCACACACCTTTCACTTTTCAAATTTAACTCTTCATTTTGTTCTTTTTTTATCCTATCCTTTTCTTCCTACCTGGTTCCATCAATTATTTTTCTTTCTTCAATCTCTTCTTCCTTGATGGTTCCTTCTTCTCAGCCTAATAAACATATTCAAATTTCCTCAAAGAAACACCTGGTCAACATCACTAAAGTACTTCTCTGTACCTGCTCTATAATTATTTACCATTACCTATCCAGAATCAGTTATCAGTGTGTCTGTCTCTTGTCTTAAAGGACCAAGATTCTTACCTGTTCGCATTATATCTAATAACACCAACAGTAACATTTTACATATAGAATAGGCAAACCTTAACAAGCGTGAACCACAGATGTTCTGTAAGCATATAGGGGTCATCTGATAAAAATGCATTATCAGATTTGGTTTCTTAAATAAATCATCGGCAGGAAAAAGACAAGGTAGTAACATATCAATATAATTTTAAGTAATATTACTGTCTTTAGAATCTCACAAATCATAATTATTACAACTGTAAGCATTTCAGAGAAGTATCGTTAACTATCCAACCGACATCAGTGAGAGGTGCTAAGAAAAAGGTTCATAACATTTGAGGAACTGACAGTCAAGGTTTCTGTTATACTGAAGTGAGTGTACAGGTCCATAAAATGGAAGTAATTTTTAATTTTACAAAAGCAACAAATGCGACAGTAGACAAACAGGAAGTGAACTCTGTTCTGCTTCAGAGTTCGGATGGTTGATCATTTCATATTTGATCCAGCTATGTTAATGCATTAGCAGTAACAACAACAACAACAAAAACAGTAAAAATGTCTCATAGAGAAAAGAAAAAACCAACAGCCATAGCTGGTAATGGAAGTAAGGAAGTCTAGGAAAGTACAGTTCTTGGTCCCTAAATTAGTTTTAGAGGCATTAAAAAGTAACTGTCCAGGGCCAGGGATATAGCTCAGTGGCACAAGTCCCTACCTGGCAAGTGCAAGGTCCTGGGTTCGATTCCCAATACCGAAACAAAAAACAAACAATCAAAAAAGTAACTGTCTAAATTGGTAATGCCTGCTGAGCATTCCATATTAAAACTGGGCAAGAAATTGATAAGACTGTCTCAACAAATATTCCAGCAAGAATTTATCTTTTTCTTCTTTTCTTGAGACAGATTGTTGCTTTGTAGTTCAGGGTGCAAGCCGCACAGGGTAGCCTCAAACTTTCCTTCTTTCTCTTCCTTCCTTCCTTCCTTCCTTCCTTCCTTCCTTCCTTCCTTCCTTCCTTCCTTCCTTCCTTCTTCTTTACCTCTCTTTCTCTCTCTCCCTCCCCCCACCCTCTTTTTTTCCCTTTCTTTTTCTTCTGCTTTTTTGAGACAGGGTCTCATCATCTCCTAGGTAGTTCAGGCTATCTTTGAACTCATGGTAATCCTCCTGTCTCAGCTTCCCAAATATTTGGATTACAGGCATGCTCCACCAAGTCCAACAGGCCTCAAACTTTTAATCCTCTTATTTTGGCCTCCCAAGTGTTCAGATTTTACCTTATATAACTCCGTAAACAGCTTTAGGGCTGAACACACACAAAGCGTTGCTTACATTTTGTTTTATTTTATTGCAGCTCATGAGAAACATTACACACAGGGTGCAAACTTCAAACTTGTCTTTACTTACTAGCTGGTTTTGTGCTTCAATTTTCTATTTCTTGAAAAAACACCTAACGTCATAAGAACTTAAATTGAAATCAAGTAATGTGCACAGTGGCTAGCATTAAAAAAAATGACTGGGGTTTTATTAAATATTATAGGTGCTGAATAAATTGCAAGTTACTGAAACTACGGGACTAAAGTAAGTATAAGCATTCCCAAAGAGTCTGACATAGTGTATATTTCCATGTTGTCTTAACTGTTCTGTAAGTCTGTCTCTTCTTGTAAGCTATTCTCTAGGCACGGGTCAGCCTCCCAACGTGGTCAACTGCTCTGTCTCTGTAAACAAGCCTTGTTGTAGCTTTGGCAGTGGCCGAACCACCTGCACTAACTACGAGATAAAGAAACACGCGGCCCAAATGGGACACAGAAATGTCAGGAGGAAAACTGGCTAACAGTTCAGACAAACGCAAGACTACTCCCTCCCTTCTTAGAAGACAGCACAGTACACAGGTGGCTAGCCTCCTCAGAGGACTAGAGGCATGGTTAATACACAGGCCGAACATGTAAGCCACACAGCTCAGTTTTACATAAACACGTAGGTACTGGACACTCTAGAGACAAAAGGTTAACAAGCATCTCTAGGTACAGGGCAGCTTATAATAAGAATAAGCAGCCAGGAAGTTTATACTGATTTAACTCATCCACCTACTTTAAATTAAAAGGTTGTAGCCAGCAGAAGAAAACAAAGTTTCAAAAGTGATCTCATTCCCACCATCTTCCATAATTGTGCAACTACTTTCTGTGCATATTTGCTCACAATTCTCTTCTTAATAAGGTTTAGTATTTAAATTTGTGCCCCTACCAGAAGTCCCTATACCAATTCTGGAAAACTGCGTATCTGATGAAGATGCACAATAAATGTGTTCTAAGTACAACACAGACTTATGGGTATGGGCTGGGGAGACAAACTGTCCTCTTTATGGATGTACCTGTCTCTCATGGGGCTTTAATTTTCCCATTTATATGATAATTTCTCCTGGTAAAAGGTTTAATCCAATTTAAATTAAAAGAATAAAAGAATATATAGAAGTGAGTGTGTGTTTATAACTATTGATACTATGTAACTAATTTATATCAAATGTGGTGTGGATCAGATTTACTATTTTGATTAGTATGTATAACAAGAGAAACAAACTGGATGGCTACTATGTAGCTAGCACTGTCATCTCATTTAATATTCATAAAGTTCCATGAAGTATCCCAGTTTTATAACTGAATAAATTAAGTCTCAAAAATGCTGGAGAAATTGCCTGAAGTCACACAGTTACTATGCGGTAAATCCATAACTCATATTCACAACTATCTGACCCACAGGACTATTCCCATAACTACAATGTAGTTGCTCTAATAGATGGAAGTAGAAAGATGAAGCAAACTGCAGAAGAAAATTAGGTAATATTAAATAACCATAATACTCATTCCTGCAAGTACTAAATCATATTTGACAACTCAATATGCAAATGGTTTTGTATTTGCCAAATATGTATCCAAGTGGAAAATTTCTTTCTTTTTAACTCTATTAAATGTATTAAAAAGTTGGATCAGAGAGCCTTGACTTACCTGTGTTGCCATCTGTACTCTCCATAGATGGTTTACTGGTTTCTGATAGATTGTTCATTCTTGAGTCTGCAATCAATCAGAAATAAGGATTTTTAAAACCAGGGATAAAGGTAAGGTTAAGGAGGCAAACCTGTGCAGAGGAAAGGGTTAACTAGCATTATCATCACATGTGTATGTGTAAGGCTAATATTTCAAAACTATAAAAGTTTGCCTCAAGGAAATTCAGGATTTTCTAGAGCTGGATTTCTGAAGGTATCCACAAATTATCTTTCTAAGGAATTTTAAGATTCTTCTAATAATCCCTAAACTTAAAGCAGAACTCTTACCTGAAAAAAACTATTAAGACTTCGACAGGTAGAAAGAATAAGCACTTTATAACATTAAGTGTATGCTAAAGAAATAAAACTGGGGAAGGGGAAGTACCTGAAAAGGTAAAAAACAAAAAACAAAACAAAAAATTCCATTATTCCCAAATGAAGTATCTTTTTCCATAAGCAAATTTATTCATTATTTATAACTTCATAATAGATGGGATAGTAACTCAATAGACTAAAAGAAAACATTTCTAAGCGAAATATTTCCATTTCATTTCCCTACCCAACCAAAGGGAAAGTCAAAGCGACACTATGTCAAATGCATACCTAAATTATAAACCTGTACAAAAAGTTGTACCAGAAATATAACAGATATCTCTAATAATTTCAACACTGAGTCACAATCACATCCATTTAAAAATTATATTACCTTGATATCCCAAATAAATCTTCTAAATTTGAGTTTACCTGTTTTGGTGTTATCTACTTTATCAAGGTTTATTTCTATAATGAAACATATTTATTGAGCTCAATTAGCTATCCCAAAAATATACAGATGAGACAAGAGCAACACGATTTTTTCTGAAAATAGTGAAAAAATATACATCTTGTACTATATCCACTATAAAACCAAACTTAGAATATTTACAATCAAGAACAACTTAATTATCAAGTAAGTTCTGCCTTTTTTCCTCCAAGTTAAGAACCATTTAACAGTAGTTATTAGTAAAGAATTAATATTTAAAACTATACTATGATTTTTTAACCAAAGATCACATTTTTCTCAGCAGAAAATGTAACTGATTTACATTAGGAAATCAAAACAATCATTAGAAGTCTCAATCATAACTGGTCACAGCTGTATTATCTACACACTTAAGAGACATAGGAAAAAAATCAGGAATCCTTCTTTCATAAACTTCATTTCCATCCTAGAAACTGTGTAATAGTTTTTCTAATATAGTTAAGTTTTGTAACTGATGGTTTGATTTATGGGCTTAGGCAGTCCTATCATTATCTTTAGTTCATTCTTCAGATTTTCGAAGGCTTAAAATTTGTATGTATTTGATCATAAATAAGGACAGTTGTATAACTTCCTTCTGCCACTGTCCACAAAAATTTACATACCATCTGAAAGCATACTAAGGTTTGAAAGGAACAGGTGTACAACTTAGTGAAAATCAGCTTTCTGAATGACTTACCCAAACTGTTATGAAAGTTAACAAAGTTCACAACAATTCGGTAGAATAAACCTTTATGGAAGCTTAATGCTTCCTTTAGAATGAGTTTTATAGGAAAGCAGAAAAGAGTCAATCAATTAATATTCAAAAACACATTCATGAACATCACAGACACAAAGTAAGCATAATTTTTAGCAAGTCATGACCCTGTCCTTGCACAATTCATATCATTTCAGTATCTATACACCAAAAATTATGTCACAAGTATTTTATGTAAATCTACAAAATTGTCAAGAGTGTCAAAGGGGTTTAACAAAATTACTTCAAACATATAGAAAAGAATAAAACAATAAAAATCTGATTAAGTGTACAATGATGGGGAGACTATTTCAATGATATAAATAGCATAATTGTAAAACAAGTCCTAAAACTATCTCCCAAAGATATTTTCTTTTCATTACCTGAATTCCCAATTTACTAAATGTAAAAAAGTAAACACAAAAATAAATTCTTCTTGATATCTGACATTTTTTTCTTTCTGGGCAATATTAAAAATACAGGTCTTTCTGGACTGACTTTACATAATGAATGTAATATGCAGTCTACAAGTCATTACTAAATTCCTGACATCAATTTGTTGCCTATGCCAGTCACCCTTTATACTGTGATTTTTACTGTGATGGACAATATGACTACTACCTTGGGTTTAGGCCATGCCTTTTGCATAAGAGTTTAAACATTTTCACAATTATCAGTTTACTGTACTTCATCCTCAGCAATTGTGTGTGTGATAAACGCAGTCTTAGTTTTTAGTGGGGCGGGGAATGACACACAAGGAAAAAAGCTGCAAGATATCCAACTCCTGGAGTTCAGATCATCTGCCTTTTCTGATGACTACAAGGACCTAGAAAGGTTTCAGTATTTCTGCATATAAACAAACAAAACTTCATACAAAATATGGCCACCATGGGCCATCCTATGTCTAAATACCAAAGTGTCTCAACCTATTTTAGTCATCAAAGACAGTTTATATGTTCGAATAGGACATTTCCTTCTCTAAAGGGCTATGGGGAAAACTCTAAAAATTGGCTTTCCAACAGTTAAAACTTTACTGTTCTGAAGAACATAGTTGGTTTTTCAAAGTAAAAGTGAAGGCTAATCTTAGACAAAATGTGAAAACAGCAAATAATTTCTAAAATGTAGAAACTGATCAACACATGTAGTCACCACTGCATTTACCCTCTGTAGTAATACTTATAGGAACAATTCTGCACAATGGTTCCACTTTTTCACTGAGCATTTTTGTATGAGTCATTCTCATTAGATATGCAAAACTACTTTGTTAATATGTACATATTATTTAAGTAGTTTATACTTTGATTTAAAATGTTCTTAGAGCTACATGAAATGTTCTCCACAGAAATTCCCAAATTCCTCCATTAAAGCCAAATTCTAAATTCACACTATTTACTGAAAACACTGCACCCTCTGAACCAGAAGAGCTGGTTGTAGGGAGAGACCTACAGCAAATTCTGTATGCCTGTGCTGTGTAAATGCTTTCCTCCTTCCCTGTTCAATCCACCTCTCCCCCTCCCCAGAGCTAGTTGCATACGTGATTAAGCATTTATGCATAGTCAACCCTCCACATGCTATTTCCATATTAAAGCTCTAAGAACGAACTGAGCTGGTACCCACCTAGAACATAGTCACTGCAGTCCAGCATTGCTGTGAAATCTTCTAGAAGTGAAGACAGTCCAAAGCAAGGAAGAAACAGGTATCAGTCTGGGGTGGGGAAGGAAGGTACTACTATTTCTAACAAATCTGCAGTATGTTCTTCAGAGAACAAGAGTGGGGGCAGTGGAAAGTGGATTAACGGGAGAAGCAAAATACAACTTCAGTTACACCATAGCAATCTTCAACTGAATAAGGAAACTTCAGTTGCTCAGAGGAGTTTTAGCCTCTCCTACCAGCGAGGACTGACATTGTCAAGGCAACTGAAGCATGAAAAGTTCCCCTTTTTGTAATAAAATAGAAACAAAGATTGCAGCTGGCAGTTTCCATAATGAAGCTTAATCAGTATGCGCGTGATTAGGGCCTTATGCAAATCTCTCCTCGTTAGCACAGCAGCCAGCACTTTGAAGTCCACGAACAATTCATTTACAGAATACACTGAAAGCACTCCCTGCATAATTTAAATCGTTGCATAAATATTTATCAGCTCATTTGCATATTAATTGGCAGTGCATGAAGGGAAAAATTATCTCCTGAGTGCCAGCATAATAATTAGGAGGATAAAATGAGATTTCTTCCAATGGCCTGGCTTCTTGGACCTAACTTGAGATAGTACCAAGGGAGAAGGGAGGGACAGCAGACAGAATTCTGTTGAAATGCCACTGAAATGACACGTACAAATTAGAAACAACTCTACAGACTTAAGCACCTTTAATCTTATTCCTGCTGGCAACAATGACTTCAGTAATAAGAAGATTTGCAAAAAGCTTTCTACACAATCCAAATAATCCCAAGGAAACAATTAGCAAGGTAGAAGCAGAACACAGGGCTGTCAAGATGGTGCTAGTCTACTGATAGGGAATTTTCCAGTTATTAACACACACCGTCAGGAGAAAGTCCTACTTAAACACAGCAATGGTGTAAATGTAAAAGCAGGGTAGAATGTCTGAAAGTATCGGTGAGAGGACAGAAATTCATTATCTACAAATCTTTTTATATTAAATTAACAGAATAGATTAGTTGAATGCTACATATTATGGCAGCATCCTTCTCTCATTAAATCTATTTCACATAGGAAGACTGCTATTCAGAATACAGATCCTTGAAAAACTGGCCATGTAAACTGTGGAGTTACTTAGTATTCACAAGTAAATTTCACTTAATAGGCCCATCCTTACTAAATAACATGTATATTCAATTTAAAGTGAATTTATAAGGTAAACCATCAATGTAAAACCTTTCAGGCATTATAATATGACATTATATCCTCACCATCACAGACAATTCAAGAGAAGATACATAAAAACTGCATAAGGTAGGCATTATTATCTCCTTTTTAGGAGTAAGGAAGCTGAGGCACAGAGAAATAAAGGACTTTTTACACAGTATTACATTAATAATTTGGAGTTGGGATTTAAAACCAGATTTTGCTGACATCAAAATCTGAGCTTTGGGCTACTATTTTGAATTACAGATGAGTTACACATTCAGGAAAAGGGAGGAGGGCGTCTAAAGCAGCAGAATAAAATGGTTTGTTTTCAGTATAGTGAGGAAAGAGACCACTATACTGGTGTAATTGGTGGAAAAAACATGTGTACACTAGATATAAGGAGTTCTCAAAGGTGTCATTTTATTAATAACCTGCTTTTACTTACAGCCTGTCTTCAAGCATGCCAGATATCTGATTTTTAAAATATATATAGCTTTCTCCAACATTAAGGCTGAAATTAAACTTAACATGCATATGAAGAAAGACAAGATTTTTATATTTTAAGAAGATTTCCTTGCAACTCAATAACTTGCAGAACCAAACACCTTCCTTAACTTAGATCAATATTCT